GTATGGAGGCTTCGGTGCACTTGACTGAGTCCATTACCTTCACAATTGTTTATCAGAAACCTGTACAATGACTAAGGATGATGGAAGCAGAATTGATGCCTTTGAGCTGTGGTGCTGGAGAAGAGTATTGAACATACCATGGAATGCTAGGAGAACAAACAAGTTTGTCCTGGAGAGGGTGAAGTCAGGCTTCTCCTTGGAGGCAAGGATTCTGAAGCTCTGTCTGACTTACTTTGGAATTTTATAATGAGGGACCAATCCTTGGAGAGGGACACATACTTAGGAGGGTGGAGGGACAGCACAGGAGAGGAAGACCCTCAATAAGATGGATTGGCTCAGTGACTGAGGTAATGAGGGCACACATGTCAGAGAAAATAAAGTTGGTTCAGGATAGAACAGTGTTCAAAGCTGTTGTACAAAGGGTTGCTATGAGTTGAAGGTAACTTGACAAAACATAACAACAGCAACAGAAATAGATTGAACAGGTGTAATGACAATTGAATGTAAGAATAATCTATTTCTAAAATAACACTACTTTTGAAATGGAACACTATAAAATATATTTTGTTGTACTCAATTTCTTGGTCTTTTGGGAGAAATAACAGTTACTGAAATACTTAGTATTCTATTAAACAGGTTCATCATATGTTCATAACTATTTTTGGAATTCTAATGTGATATTTGAATAATCTATAGATTAAGTATAAATGTAATCAATCTGATAAATATACGCTTGTTTTATGACATTATTAGCTATATGGTCAGGATGTCTCAGTATTAATCATGCTATTCAAACACATTCTTAATGCCAGGTTTCATAATAACATATCATTTAAATTAATTTAAATTCAAAGAGTAAACACAATGATTATTATGTGCCAGGCAATGCACTGTGAATATAACAAAAATAATATAAGAAACTGACACTTGAAGTTTCATTTCTGAAATAGAAATCATAAGAAAAAACACTCCAATGGGGAGACATTTCACTAGTAATTGAAGGCAAACTGTTCAAAGATGATTTTATAAAGATTTAACATTTAAGCTGGAAATGTATGTGTAAGTAGGCTTATTTTCAGTTAAAGAAAGTAAAAATAGGTTCTGTAAATATAAAAGATAATATTGGTTTAATAAACGACAAGTTAAATGAATTAAATTGAGTAGAATTTTGTGTCTTAGAAAATAAAGTAAAAAAAATGATACAATACATAAAACCAGAGAATTTACATAGGTAATAATGTATTTGTGTAAATCTAGAAAAGTGTATATGTCTGAGTCAAGAGGGTAAGGACACAAAGTTGAATAGCTTAATACTGTATTAGTCAAGTTTAGACAAGTGTTTGAACCACGGTGCTTACTGGAAATGATAAAAGAGGTTAAACTGAAGAAACATTATAGAAGTAGACCCAGGCATGATTTAAATACCTGTGGAATAGTTGACAGAAATTTAAGGCAGTTTTTAACATTTTAAGGAAAAGGATAAGAAAAGGCTACAAAATATGATAATTCTGTTGTTACTTTTAACCTTTTATCAAAGGTGAATTTGTGGGAAAATGGAGGGTACAATTAATTGCTTTCAAAGGAATTGATATATACTGCAAGAAAGGGGAAAATAAGGCAAAAATT